GCCCTTAGGCAGGCTGTCGTCACTCCATCTTGGGGTGATGTCGTCGTGTTATGGGTACTCCATGACGGGCATCGCGACCTCTCCATCGGACCCTGACCTGACCATCGTGAAGTGCCGTGACGTCCATCACTCGCAAACATTTCTGCGACGGGCCAAGCTTCCTCGCATGAAGAACCACTTCAGCTCGAAACACGCTCATTTGATCGACTCTCTACCCTGTGAAATGCGCAACTCGACGCGAGTGTATTAATTTATATGAAAGCAGGCGAAGTGCATGTATTGGATGCATCATGTATTGGATGCATAACTGATGTCGATGAAAAATCCTACTGTGAGGCTGCTTACTGCTTAAAGTGCTGACCACCCCGATAAGCTGGCCGACAGGGTGGCCGCAGCTCGTGGTGGCACAGCGAAGTGATACCTGGGGAAGCCCTATGCTGCGGCGGGTGGCGCATGGCCGCTGTGATTGACAAGCAATGCATGTCCGCGAAGCCGTTTCGTCTGGCACCAGGTCTTCGGAAACACAACGGTCGAATGTTTGCGTACTCGAGAAAGAGCTAAACGCGTCATCTGTTGCGTTGGACATAAGCGAGAATAATGTATGGGAGCAAGCAACCCAAAAGTCTTCATTAGTGTTAGAAGAATTGAACATGTTAAGTTTATCCTGCGGAAAGCTACAAAGAAAAAACAGACCTGCTCGCGTGTGTTGAGCTTGTTGGCTGTACGGGATTCATACACTGCTCATAATACCGTCGAGCTGCCAATACTCAAACCCCACTCATCAATCTCCAAAGATACACCTTCGAGCCAAGCCAAAATCTACTTGTCCAGACCCCTTGCCTTGACAAACTTTGCAATCTGGTCTTTGCACGTCTTATCAGTGTACGTCTCCCAGACTTCATACAGCGATATCAGCTCCTGCGTGCACTCAACAACAGCCTCGATATCCACACTGCTCTCAGCAAGCCAGTCGACAAGTTTCTGTATCCTCGCCTGCATGCCTTGCCCACCGCGCGCATTGCCAAGCGTCTGGAGAGCGTTGTTCATCCCGGCTGCATTAACTTGCGAGCCGATGGGCTTCAGGACGACTGCCAAGAACATCGCCGTGATGGCGATGACATGTGGTGCGTGAAGAAGCGGAAGATCTGTGAGATAGTGATCGTTTATGATAGACCATGCTAGAGCATTCTCTTCTTGCGTCAGTTGGAACTGGGTCTGCAGTTCCGCAAGGCTGCGGTATGGGTGGTGGAGAATTAGTTGCGAGTTCATCTCGGAGATGAGCGTGAATTCGCACTCGCCAATCTTAGAGACGTCGTTGAATGATGTGTCTGGAACTTGTTAGGGTTGTTTGGTGGATGTGCGTGTGATGACTTACCCCAGCAATGTCGCGCCTCTGCCAGTACCATTCTGATGTGCTGCGGACATTCCTCCATTTTACACGCTAGGTACAACGCTGTTGCCAGAACGAGCGCTGGATTTGTCCTTCGAATTTCTACCTTGGCGTAGAAGCGTCGGACGTATACCTGAGCGGTAGCCAGAGCTTGCTGTCGAATCCCCAATGGTCTTGCCATTTTTGACAATTCTAAGACATGTTAGCATAAACCCGAATTACCAGGTCACGTTACTGACGATGCGAAAAGTAAATGCTCAGATGCCGCCGGTCTGGCAAGGGATATAGGTTGACCAGGTTTCGCTCTGCATCTTCCATTCTCTTTCGTTCAAGCGCCAGCTCTTGCTTTGTGAAAGTCCAGAACTTCCGCTGGGTTGACTCCCAGTAACTAGACGACATGATGGGCGAGTGCGATGCGATGAATTAACGTGGAGATGGAATGATCGACCCGTTCAAGCCACTGCAGTATATATTCGTATGCTCTTCGAGTGATTTAATGGCCTTCTCAGATGTCGCCTCAATACCAGATGCGATTTCGTCAGGCTGAATACAGTTTGTTGGAGCAGACGCCAGTGGACCAGTAGGCCGGGTACACGGCGACAGAGAAGTAAAATTTCAACGCATTATCGGACGATGTGTCGGTATGAAGTGAGTGCAATGTGAAGCGTAGAAGAGGTGTCGGGGTTCAGACGCGGTGTCCAATCAGATGCGAGCGAATGTTAGGCTCCTGTCGTGGCTTCCCTCGGTGTTGCGGCATGGGAAGCTAGCCTCTTTCAGCCGCCCTCTCCAAGCTTTGAGACTGACCTCATACCCCACGTCGAAGCCTATACGAGCCCGTGTCCCTCCCAGCCAGCCATTCCTCTCGCAATTCACCTCGCCCGGTGCCGATAGTCGCCCTCCCGTGTGTGTCGCGACCCTCAGCCATGATAGACCGGAGATAGCAGGACGACAATGGACACACAGAGCGCAAGCGTTGCCGACGGCAGGGTGGACGAACTATGGGCAACTCTCGACACGCGCAAACAGGGCCATCTTGACCTCGCAGGCCTCAAAAAGGGGCTGCGGAAGCTGGATCATCGTAAGGGAGGATGTTGCGCGCAGACTTCAGGCCGCTAACCCGACATTGTAGCCTTGAAAAATGCGGACCAGCTCCTGGACGAGGTGATGCAGGCTGTAGATACCGATGGGAATGGAAGGATCACATACCAAGGTGGGTACGTTCTCTCTACCCGAATTACACGTATACTGACGCGATTCCAGAATTCCGCAAATTCGTACACGAAACCGAAAAGGAGCTTCAGCACCTATTCCAGACCATCGACTACAACCACGACGGCAAGATCTCCAAGGACGAGCTGCGCTCAGCTTTGCGGACAGCCGGCCTCACAGTGCCCAACAGTAATCTCGACAAGTTCTTTTCAGAAGTGGACACCAACAATGATGGGCACATCAGTTTTGAAGAATGGCGGTATGTACCCAGTCAGTTTGCGGTCGTCACAACGGGTGGAATTGGAGTGGCATCACACACGGTGGAAGCGCGAACAGACTGAGATCATTTTCGTTTGGCCTAAAACCGCGACAAGATCTCGAGATGTGTTGCATGGATGTCGCATGGAGGACTTTCGTGAATCTTACTGACTATGATTAGGGACTTTCTTCTATTCATTCCGGTCAGCGCACCATCCCTCGGCGCCGTAATGTCGTACTTTTCCGCTACCATGAAAGTAAACCAGGAAGGCGACGTTGCCATTAGTGACGACACAATCCAAGGCCTAGGTACTACACAGCGTTTTCTTCGTTTTTTCTTTGGTTCCCTTTTCATTGTAGCGCACACACCGCCCTACAATCCCCTTCCGCCAGAGCCCAGCGCGCCGCTCGACATGGCTTCATCTACTTCGACACTTGCCTACCAAGGTACCCTCCCGCCACGGTCTGCACACGAGACGAGCAGCGCTCCTCTCGAAGAGATACGGGCAGGACTTATAGAGAGCTTAGGAACCATGCTGATTGCTTGTGTTCCCAATCCAGGCTATTTCGTGGCGGGAGGCGTTGCAGGCATTGTTTCTCGCACCTCCACTGCTCCGCTCGATCGTTTGAAAGTCTACCTCATCGCCCAGACCAATGTTGCGGAAGAAGCTGTCGTTGCCGCCAAGCATGGCAATATCGTTAAAGCTGCCATGAATGCTTGGAGGCCACTTGCGACCGCCACCAAGGAGCTCTGGCAGGCTGGCGGTATGCGCAGTTTGTACGCTGGTGAGTATCTGTCACTGCTTTCTGATGACTGGAGTTGACGTTTGCCATAGGAAACGGCTTGAACGTCGTCAAAGTGATGCCGGAATCGGCCATCAAATTCGGGTCTTACGAGGCAAGTATAGTCAAATAAACCAACCGCTTCCCCTAACTCGCGCAGGCTGCGAAACGCGTCTTCGCTAAGATAGAAGGACACAATGACCCCGCCATAATACACTCATGGTCGAAGTTTGTTGCTGGTGGTCTAGCAGGTGAGTTCTCGGGATGATGTAATCGGACCAGCGCTGACGTTCTTCAGGCATGGTCTCCCAATTCGCCGTCTACCCCATCGATACCCTGAAGTTGTGAGTAGAGTCAAAATATCCGTTCAACTCGCGCTAATCCAACCCAGTCGCATGCAATGCGAGACCGTCTCTGGTGGCTTACACGGCAACCGCCTGATCTGGGCCACAGCAAAGAAAATGTGGAATGCTGGTGGCATACCCGCATACTACCGCGGTCTACCCATGGGCATTGTCGGCATCTTCCCCTACGCAGCCCTCGATCTAGGTACATTCGAGTACCTCAAACGCTACGTCGCGCGTCGCAACGCGAAGCGACTTGGATGCCACGAACAAGATGCCGAGCCAGGTGGTTTCATGACAGCAGCCATTGGCGGGTTCTCCGGCGCATTCGGTGCAAGTGCTGTTTACCCGCTCAATCTCCTGCGAACACGACTGCAGAGTCAAGGTACTGTTCTGCATCCGCGGACGTACACGGGCATTATGGATGTCACGAGACAAACTATCGCGGGTGAGGGTGTAAGAGGGCTATTCAAGGGTCTCACGCCGAACCTGCTCAAGGTCGTTCCTGCTGTCTCAATCACATACGTCGTGTACGACAAGTCGAAAAAAGCAATCGGCCTGCCGTGAGGCAAGAAGCGCCACCACAATGTTCAAACCATGGGACGGAAGAAGATTCCCACACCAAACCACAAGACTGCGAAAAAGTTCTTGTCCCTTTGCATATCAAAATACAGCGATACCCTTCGAGCTTTATAAGCATCACTACTAGCCTTTTTCTATCTTTTCTTCTTTTGCATCATGGCGCGGCGTTTGGGCGTGGGTGGTTGTGGTGGACGCAGCTTGGTCTGGTCTCGGATTGGGGATGACAGAGCTTCTGAAGTAGGGGTTATGTGTTGGTGGGAGTATATGTATGCTGTAGTGGTAGCTTAGCAATGATGAAAAGCAAGAAGTGGACGTCTCATTCTTAGTGCAGTGTCGGGCCAACAACCCTGTGTCTGCGTATACCATCCCAATCAATTCCACCCAGAAACGCCGTCCATCTAACCCAAACATAACGCCCTCCCTCACTCTCACTTTCATTTCGTAATAACAATCAACAACACCAAAATAATAATCAACACCACAATAACAGTCAAACTCCAATTCTCCCGTGCCTTTCTACTAAACCGATCCAACCTTCCCCTCGCCCTCACAAACTGCGCCGCATGCCGATCCACCCCTTCCTCTACATCATCCAGCAACATGACCTGCCCGTCCAGCTCATCCCCTATCTGCATGCTGAGTTCGCGCTGCCGCCCGATTGAGGCGCCGAGCGAATCGAGTTGGCTGTCTTGGTCGGCGATGACGCGGCTGTGGTATTGGTGGATTTGCTCGTTATCCAAAGAAGTTTGGTCGGGCGTGGAATCTGACGGGTCGTCGCGGTAGGGGAATAGGGAGGAGCGATTGGGGTCGTCGGATTCATCGGAGGTGTTGTCTGAGAAGCGGACGGATTTTGAGGTTTGGCGCGTGGGAGCGGGTTTTTTGGATTGGGCGGCGGCGAAGTCGGAGGTTAGGGAGGGGTTGTTGGGGGAGGTTAGGGTCGGTGATGTTGGTGTGTTGGAGGTGCTGGATTTGGTGGTGGGTGTGAATTGCGATGTTAGTTCTGCGAGTTGGGTGCGTAGACGGGGGAGTTGTGATGTTATTGATCTAAGGATACATTAGTAAATAAAATTCCTGTTATAGAGAGACGTCGGGTGGGCTCACTCGTCCGACGTGTCTTGGACTTGCGACTCCAGCGACTCGATGCCGGAGCGCAATTGCTCCAGCGAGCGCGAGATCTGGCCATCTTGGCTGTTGGAGGGGAGGTTGAGGGAGAGGGCGCGTTGGCGCTCGAGCAGGGAGAGCTTGATGTGGTCGGCGAGGAGGAAGAGCTGTGGGGGGTTGGTTGCCATGGTGGCTGTGGTGGGTGAAGGTTGGTTGCAGGCGGTGGTGTAGTGCGTGGTACGGGGACCCAATGCGCCGGAGATGGGGACGCGCGAACGATGCGAGGGAAAGCGCGAGTTACTTTGATAATTACGAGTGGATGCGACTATGTACAGCAATCCATGGATGTGAAACAGACACACGACGTTGCAGCTAAAGCGCGAGTGGAGATGGCAAGGCTGCTGCACTCCAGGAGCGGACCGCTGACGACAGGCCCACTATGCCGTGGCTGGGCGGCTGGGGGTTAATTGGTGGGGAGTGGCCAGGGCTGCACCATGTCGCTCTGTCGCGCAACCTCCAAGCCACGGCATGCTCCCTTCTGCTTCGGGAGAATGTGCCATCCTGACCGCCCGACATAGTCTTTGCTTCTGGCGCTCTGCAGCCCGTGGATGACTGGCAGAGCGGCCATCTGACAAACAAACCCCCCACAGCCACCTCGATCGACACGATAGAGGAGACCCGAGACAGCGCATCTCACCGCCGACTGCACCTGCCCCGACGCGAGTGAACGCGATTCTCTTTCATAAGCGTCTATCCGTCGCCAACTCCCGCCAACCCTCCACACCAACTCCCCCAGCATGTCGTCGCCAAGCCCCATCCCACCCCCGAACGACCGCCGGTCTTCACGCTCGTCGCGCTCGTCCAGCAACGCCAACTGGACTGGCTGGCCCGAAGAGCAGCATGGTGGAATGCCCGTCGGCGGCCCTCCCAGCAGCCCCTCGCCCTTGGCCGTCCGCGTCTCAAACTCACCCTCAACGAAGCGCCGTCACAGCCGGATCGTCAAAGTACCCCCCGAGTTCGCCAACCTCGAATACGTCTCCACGCCCGACAGCAACCTCACCTGCCTCATCTGCCACGCCCCCTTCGACAAGCCCGTCCAGCTCTCCTGCGACCACTACTTCTGCCGCGAGTGTCTCGATCACGCGTGGGCGCCGCAGCATAAGAGGACCTGTCCCACCTGCCGGCATGCTGTTGAAAGCGACAGTGACATTCGCCCGGTGCCTAAGATTATCGAGACGATGCTGGATGAGCTTGTCGTCAAGTGCCCGAACACCAAGGCAGGCTGCAACTGGGTCGCCCAACGCGTCAACGTCAACGACCACGTCATGCTGTACTGCGAGTACACGCCTGTCGAGTGCTCTGCCGCAGACTGTCGCTTGCAGATATCACAGAAGGACTTCCACAAGGGCTGCTTGCACTACACCGTCAGTTGCGAGGACTGTCACGCTTCGCTCCTCAAGAAGGACCTCGAAGAGCACCAGCGGAGCCTCTGTGCTAACCGCTTGACTACCTGCACGCTCTGCTCGGCTGAGATACTGCGGCTAGACCTCAAGCCTCACATTAACAACGACTGCCCGAAACATGTCATATCATGCCAGGGCACCATCGTCGGATGCAAGTTCCAAGCCGAGCGTGCCGACGTCGTACTCCACGAACCAACCTGCGCAATGGCAACCATGGCGCCCCACTTCCGCGAACAGCAGGCCCGCATCGAGAGAAACGAAGCGCGAATGGAGCCCCTGACTAGGAAAGTCGGCATCCTCGAAGACGGTCTCACCAACATCACAAACTACCTGTATCCAGCCAACGGAAACGACGCCTCCTTCCCTGTTACCGATCCCCTGGACCCCAACGACACCGACCCCCAAGCACCCACGCCAGACTTCCGCCTCCCACCCGCTTCATTTCCCCCAGTCCCAGCAGGCGGAAACGACAGCAACAACTCCGCCCAACCTCCTTTCGACTCCCAAGTCCACCACCTCCTCACGCTACACGACTCCCTCCGCGAAGAAGTATCCCGTATCTCCAACGCGCTCACCGACCTCGACGGCCGCACCAACATGATGATCATCAACGAGAGCCAACGCTCCAAAGACGAAATGCTGCACGTCAACGCCGCAATCAGCAACATGCGCATGCACCTGCAATGGGTAGTCAGTGCGACACTCCAACAACGCTCCAACGCTACCGCCACTTCCAGAACACCAGGTACCGCAGGCGCAGGCGCAAGTGCGAGCGCCGGGAGTAACGCTACACGTGCGGGAAGTGCTAGGCCTGGGCCTAGTGCTACGATGCAAGGGCCCTTCCGCAGGCTGAGCGACTCTAATAGGCAGGATACGAAGCTCTAGTGTTTGTGGTGGTAGTATCCCCTTCTTTTTTCTTTGCGTTTTTATGATGGAAATGGAAATGGAAATGATCGCAGGTTCGATCTATGATGGAATGGATATGTCTTTATGAAAAGTGCTTTTACATGGCGTTTAGGAAATGGGGGATATGGGAGGTTGGGATTATGTACGACGGATGAGATCCTGGGTGGGATTAGGTTTATATACCCCTTCTTTCTTTGATATCGTGGGTTGCTGCTAGCGGAGGGAATGCCGCAGCAGGTGCAGGTACGACATGACGGGGATGGAAATTGTGAGATTAGATAAAAGAAAATAGTACACAAAATAATCTAGACAACATTATATACATCAACTATTCATGACCATGAATTCTTCTCGTTGTTTTCGGCGCACGTGAAGTCGTGTATGCCGTTAGCTGCGAATTCGTGTCGTGGGCGGATTATCGGTGACGTAATGCATGAGGTTTTATCGGAACCCTGTATGTACCTGAAGATCGATTACGAGGCTCAAAATAATCCTGGCGAAAACATCTGATCTTCACATATCTGCAGCTTGAACGTGTTCTTTTTCTCTTTGCAAATGGCGGGGAATACGAGTTCTGATATTTTGATTGTGAGTTTCAATCTCTGGTGTTGTTGATTTTGAATTGGCTTGGACGACGCGGGCTTTTGGCAGCTGCGTGTATGCGACCGACATGCGCGTCTTCTCCATGCCAATTAATTGAGAACGAGAAAGAGATGGAAGGAACCCAATAACCACACCACCCAACCTCCAAACACGAAGAACCTGTTCAGAGATCCCGAACTAACATCACCCACAACAAAAGGCCGGCGCAATAGCAGCCTTCACAGTAGACCTCCTCGTCTACCCACTCGACACAATAAAAACGCGCATCCAAAGCCCGGAATATGCTAAACTCTACACGGATACGCGGACGGGGAAAGTGGATCCGAAGTTGTTCCGTGGTGTGTATCAGGGGATTGGGAGTGTGATTATTGCTACGTTGCCGAGCTGTAAGTTGACGCCAAACGATTGGTGAAATGCAGAGTCGCGAGTGTTGTTATGTGTGAGAAGAGAGTTTGAAGAAGAGAAGAGAAGAGAAGGAGGAGACAGATATAGGGGTATAGATTGGAGATGGGAGACGATGCGGAGGAGTTGGAGCAGGAAATGCACAGATAGGGAAGAAGGAGATGTACTAATGATGTCAATAGCAGGAGCATTCTTCACAACCTACGAACACACAAAATCCCTCTTCACCCGCCTAAACACCAATACCAGAAGCGAAGCAATCCTCCCCATAGCCTTCGTCCACGCCTCTGCCTCTTCTCTGGCAGAACTAGTCTCCTGCGCCATCCTCACCCCCGCAGAAGTCATCAAACAAAACGCGCAGATGGTCTCTTCTACTTCTCAATCGCAGAATGCTACGTTACAGACGCTGGGTAAGTCCCCCTATCCCTATCCACGATGCACCATAAATACTGCAAGTACGGGTGGGATATGCATTGACTTCATCCATCCAGCGAAATTCCAATCCAACCCCCTCGCCCTCTGGCGCGGCTACACCGCCCTCGCAGGCCGCAACCTCCCCTTCACAGCGATGCAGTTCCCTATGTTCGAGAGGCTCAAAGAGGGGATTAAGAAGTACAGAGATGAAAAGGGACTGACGAAGGGCGGGATATTTGAGATGGGTTGGATTACGGCGTTGAGCGCGGGGAGTGCGGGGGCGGTTAGTGCGGTGTTGACGACGCCGGTTGATGTTGTTAAGACGAGGGTTATGCTTGCTGCTGCTGAGGGGTCGGGGGATGGTGGGAAGGGGAGTGGAGGGAGTGGGGGGAAAGGGTTGGTTGATGCGCTGGGGAAGGAGGCGGCGGGGACGAAAGACACGGTTAAGAATGCGGCGAAGGACGCGGCGGATACACTTAATCCGATAAAGTCTTCGCCCTCGCAGTCGAAAGGAAGGAAGAGTAGTTGGGCGGTGGGCAAGGAGATTGTAGAGGAGAAGGGGTTTAAGGGGCTGTGGAGAGGTGGTGCATTGAGGGGTGTTTGGACGTTTATTGGCGCGGGGTTGTATTTGGGGGCGTATGAGAGTGGGAGGGTTTGGCTTGCGGGGAGGAGGGGGGAAAGCGTTGATGAGGATGATTTGCTGTAGTACGTAGTTCGGGTACGTGAACTGAGGTGCTAAGGCTATTGGTGTCAGTCTTGGCGGAATGCAAAGTCATTGAATATCATTCATCCATTTGTAAAGCTTTGATAACTACCGGGAAGCTCAAGCCGTGTTGTGTCCAGTCCATGTGTGGTATGGAACATGTAGGCATGCTACATTCAACCTGTTCAACTGCAACCGCCCTTCATATTCCCTCTAGCAACTTTCTTCTAACGAAGACCTTGGGAGAAATACAGCTAGTTACAAGATGATTGTGGATAAGAAGCAAGTTTTCAAGGGTTAGCTGAAGCTACTTGCTTTGCGCGAGGCGGGGGTGCCAATTCCTGCCACAACTCCCGGTAAGTTTTACCGGAGTGGTCGGAAAGAGAGTTGTACCACTCCTTATCAGCTGCGATTATCTGTTCCTCTATAAACAAGCATACAGTGTTAGCATGGTACAACGGGCCAGTATTGTGTAATGTGTATCAAAGACTTACTCAAGAGAGGGGCCACCTTCTGCTGCAAGATCTCCAACATAGCCTCCAACCCATCTCCAACAGAAGTCCTCTCTCGAGTCGAGAAAAGTACTTGGTAGTTGGTGCCGACCGGCGCGTAGATTGCGAGGAGAGAGGTCGTGTAGAAGAAAACACCATTACTCTTCTCCTGCGCGATGATGATGATGTCGAGGTGTGAAGATGGCGAAAGCTTCTCGAAGTAGATGATACGGGCGTGGGCTGAGTGAGTTAGCTTCAATATGTAAGAACGAGTAAACATGGGGCGTATACACATGATCTGCTCTTTTATCGTCTCCTGCCAGATGATGTTCTCGTACTTGGACATGGCCATGGTGCTTGTGGTGGTGCCTTAGTCCGGCGACTAGATGCTGAGTGTGGAATTTTGTAGAAGTGGGAAGTAGAAGCGTTGAAGCTCGCTGTCGTGCGAAAAGTCTCTGATCAACAAGAAAGCGCGACTCACCCTCACCTACCGCTCTTGTTATGAGCTAGCCCAAAACGGAGACAGCAAACAATCGCTGAGCAAATTTTTAGTCTTTTTCCAGGCGGACGCTGACATGTAGCTCAGTATGTTGAGAGTAGGAGCGTAGGAAGTGAAGTAGTCTACGCGATGGCATGTGTTGATTGATGAGTTGCATTGCTATCTAGGAGCGCAAGCAAACCTTGGAAACTATCTTCGTCCATGCATGTGGTAGAAACCACACGTTGTATGCTACCGGCCACGCCTTTCTGGCTCACTAAAGCCCAATTCCACATCTGCTGGCCGTAAAGTATGCGAATGCCGCAATGACTGCGCCGAGAATGTGGATAGCTTCAGTGCGGACACCCTTCCTTGCCGACTAAAGATATCTCAAGTCAGCATTAAAGTACAGAGACCTTGTTCAGTGAGCGTAGTGGGGGACTCACTCATATGTGCTTCCATCAGCTCACGCAACTCTTCCAGAAGTGCCTCCAAGCTCGCACCGACAGAAGATTTTGATGACTCCCCGCACATCAGAACTCTCCAGTAGTTGTCGTCCGGTGCGTCGTACACGATGAGGGCAGACATGTATTTGGCAGGTCCAGGCGCAAAGTTTCTTTGTTTGTAGGAAATGGCTACGAGGACGCAATCACTCTCGAGGCTGTCCCCGTATATCGCACGGCCAAGAGCTATCAGTGTGCCTTGAGTCAGTGATCAGAGAATCAATAGTAGCCCAGTTGTACTCACACTTGATATCGTCTTTCATCTTGTCTTCCCAGATGACGTTTTCGTACTTGGACATAGCCATGGTGACAAGAATACTGAACTTGGGAGTGACGTGAGGTTGTTGTGTTTCGGAAAGTGGAAGACGGAAGGGTTGTAGTTGACACGCTGGAAGGTTTCTCATCAGCTGCGAAGAGTGCGACTCACCTTCACCTCTTCACTTGTCACCCAAACTGCCTGGATGGACTTTCGGTGCTTGAGGTCTGGAACGAACCACGAAATGGCAGTTTCCCGTCGATGGTTGTATTGCTATCTAGCAGTCGAAGTGAGGCTGGCAATCGGGTTGTATGGCTGTTACATGTGTGGTGACAAAGTTCCATCTCCATCTTCTCCGCCACACCCTTCATGCCCGTAAATTGCTGGTTCGGAGTTGATACTGCACATACGGGTAGAGATGTAGTACCGCTAGCGACCGGGTACCCATTGTGCACGAAACTCCTTCAAAGCTTCCCTAGCCTCCCTAGCCTCCCTAGCCTCTCTGTCCTCGCGGCGCTCCCGAACCTCCGCAGGTACTTGAACACGGCCCTTTCTCTTCTGCTCTGTGACAGGACCGCTCAGTTAGTTCTTGCACTTTCTGTCTTCGGCCACCGTACTTACCGATCTTGTCACCCAGCCGCTTTGTAAGTTCCACCATGAGAGCGTCCAAACCGCCCATAATGCTATTGTTCTTATCGACCGAAAGAACTATTTCCCAGTCGTTTTCCAAAAACGTGTCCGACGGGACATGAACGATAAGGTGAGTTTCATAACAACGGCCTTCCGATGTGTCGGTCCTGCTGTGGACAATATCGAAACCTGAACCACATGGGAAACGTTGAGCATGCAAGGCACGAGCCTGCGCTACACGTTGATTGTAAGTTATTAAATCGTACGGTGTGAATTGGATGTAGTAGCGGCGTACACAGGATCTGTTCCTTCATGTCTTTCTCCCGTATAGCGGACTCGGGATCGACCCAGGCCCTGAATTTCGCTTCCAGCATCATATGTTCTGAGTAACTAGTTGCGTTCGTAGTGATGTGTTGTTGGAGTAGGAGTTTGGGATGGAGCTGTTGTGCGAAAAGTTCCTTGTCTATCTAGGTACCATGGTACTGCACAAGACGCAATCCCAGACCCACCTTCTTCGCCGGTACTCTGATAGTCCACATTTGGTAACGACAACTGCGCAGCAATGCGACAACAGTGCCCACATCCAGCCAAAGTGTTCATGCAAGACTCAATATGTATGCCGCTTTGCGTGTCTCTTCGGATTGATTTTGGTCGCCGGTTTTCTCGAAGTTGTCAAACATTCTGGCTGTCGTTGCGCAGGGTTTTGGTCTCAGCGTGGGAGTATGAGAGAGTCAGAGCGAGAAGCAGAGAATTAAGAGTAAAGGATGCATTGCGAAATATGTATGCCGAAACGCTGACATACATATCACCTTTCACTTCCATTTTGACCATACCGACTTCGGGTCTGCCGGGGCGGTAACCCGTTTCTTTACTATCTATGATCGCCGGTCAAGAGACTCAATCCATGTATCCTTCTATCAGTCGACTGACCGCTTGGCCGCAAGCCGCTGGATCCAGCCCTGATTACTTATCAGTGCTGATGTCGTCCTTCTTTAACTTCTCTGCCTCCTCTGTCTTCTCTGACGACTGTCAGCGAGCATTTCTCTCAAATCATCGCAATCTTCTACTTACCCATGGAAACCATAGTCTCGACCATCATAATACGCAGCTTCCTCAGAAGATCCTGGTAGCCTTGCTGAAGGGTGGAGCCAGTTCCCTTTTCGCCTATGCGCCGCGACTTTAGAACTGGAGTCCACTCGTTCGATACAGCTTTTCCAGTCTTGAAGGCAGCCATATCTGGCATCGGGTAAACGATGAGCCATGCGACAAGGTCATTGCCTGCAGATGTATTGCCGCTGTAGATGACATCGAAGGTGGATCCATGGGGGTACTTGGGGCCGTAGATAGCGCGGGCCTGGGCTTTGAGATAGGTTAGCTGTGTGGTAGAGCAACGTCGGGTTTGTTTTGACGAACATAGAATGCGCGCTACAAGCGCCTCTTCATGCATCACTTGACTGTAGTCTCCCATTTTCGCTGGCGTGGGTGAGTTTTTGGAGTTGAGTGTGAGAGTAAGGTAGTGAAAAGCAGAAGATGGATATGTGATAGCTATTTATACGCCAAGAGACGACATCCGATTCTACCTTCACCTTCACTTTGATGCAACTATTGTGTATGCGCCAAGCTAAAACTATCCCCTAACCTACTGCTGCATTACAGCGAATATAAGGTGGTTAGGAAATACACCTACATTGAAATCACCATATAGAGTTACTAGACCGCGTTTTGTTGCCCTGCTCTGCATCAAAATTCCACCATAATGAAACTATCCCCTAGCTTTGCATGACTGCTGGTGAGCAGACCGGAAACATTTCCTCCTACAGACAGGATCAAGTCAGTCTAGCGTCGGCGAGTTCATCGCGGATTACTTCTCAGCCTTCTTCTTGTACGCCTCAACTAAACCTAGTCAGCGGATGCATGTGATAGTGCCGCAGAATTTTTCACTTACCCATGACCTCCCTCATTTCTTTCCGCAGGTCGGCAAGGAGCTTTTCATATGCTTGGACCACGGATATCCCAGAGCCCGCTGTTATAACTGGTGACCAAATGGGGGACGTGTTTTCGACCGTCTTGAAGAGCGCCGTTGGAGGGTAGACGACGACATAGGCGGTAAATTGATTCTTGTCTCCAGGAACATCACTACTGACGACGTCGAATACAGAGCCTCCCGGATATTTCTCACTGTGAATGACGCGGACATGGGCTGTAGAGCGAGTTAGTCATGCGAGAAGGAGTGATACCCGTTTAGAAACGTACAGAGGAGGGTGGCTTTGAGCGCCTCTTCTTCTACTGCTTTGGAGCTCATTGTTACTGTTGTCAATGAGGAGGTCGAACTTGGGTATGGGATTTCAAGTTGAGTGGGAAAGCGTAAGGCTACAGCAATGTGAGAGTGGAGAGTCAAATGAACGGAATTTATAGGCAGATACTTGCATGCCAACACACAAATCACATTCTCTTAGCTCGAATGACTTGATCGCAAACAGCAAACGCAAGACCAGAAGGTCTTGTCCTCAGAACGGACCGCGACATCTACAACCACCTCACCAGACGCTTTTGGCATCTTAATGAGCCCTCATAGTCAGCATCTCAAAGATTCTCCTACTCGTCGCGGGCCTCTGAAGATTCCTCCATCTCATCGTCGGCTCGAGGTGCGTTGTCTAGGATCACTCGTCAGCGGACTGATCTCACTTGTATTATTATTAGGCATCTCCACGTACCCATGACCGAGACCATATCGACTTGTAGAGCGTGAATGAGCGACTCATAACAAAACCGCAAGTCACTCCTTTCGGGAGTCTGTAGAAGAAGCCTCCATCTAGTGGAAGATGAATCAGACGGGCTAGGATAGACAATGACGTAGGCGATGTATGTATATCTGAGACTGATATCGGGCTTTTTGGAAGCGACGACGTCGAAAGTACAGCCGCGGGGGTGCTTGGGGCCGTAGACTGCTTGAACTAGGGCTACGAAGGACGATGTCAGAAGTGTATCGCAGTGGTAGTTAGAGATGACATACAGATGATGCTGGCTTTGAGGCTCTCTTCGTACTGCGCCTGGAGCTGCTTCTCTTGTTTTGAGGCCATCTTTGCTGGTGCTGCGTTCAGATTTGGAGTTGATTGTAGAAGTCTAGGAGACGAGAGCAGTGCTTGCTGTTAAATATGTGTGCGCCAAGACGAATTTTTCAGAGTCACCTTCACTCGCAATTCGGTATTTCTCGTTGTGTGTGCGCCAGGCACAAATGACGCGCATTGGGCGGGCGCCTTTCGGCACGCACGTCGTATTTACGGCCGACCAAAACTCTGATCACATGGAGATCGACACGAAGAAAACGATGGAACTCGACGTAAGTGAAGATCCGTATTTGGCTACTGCAGAAGACCCGTTACTTCTACTGACCGCGCGTGTCCTCCTTTGCGCCCGCTAGCTATTGTCAAGCGTTCGACCCAATGATGAATGGCTCGCCATTCGTGGTCACGATAGTTACGAAACTCATGCAGCGTTCTCTTTCTCCGCCTCTATCTCCTTAGCTACCGCGTCGTTCCAGACATCACCCTCATTCATGCCACCTGAGTATGATTAGCAAACGTTTTGAAACATCGTCCTACCGGTCGTAGGTTTCGCGTCTGTACTGGTTTACGGTTGGCAATCATGAGTTTGAAACAAGGTACACAGCGGCACCAGGGCTGGTTTCCGTCTGTCGCATATGACTGCATACACAACATCAAAAGCTGTTAAGTTGCTAGACCGTCTAATGCTTAAAGCTTACGCACACACAAGCTTTAGATTGACTAACTGTGGACCGCAACTCGAGTCGTAGTCACCGCTGGTAATAGAGGCTCTTGCGTTCTTCTCATGAAAGCCGCTTAATGCATACGGACAGAAACTTGTAAGAGCATGCTTCTTCTAGCAAAATTAATGCTATCGTAATTGCTAAAATGCGCAGTATCGCTGCTAAGCATTCTATGTTGACATGAAAACGGACGTAAACATCTCATTGCGAGGCCCCGGTCTTTGCTGCTGTCGATTAAAAACTCGAAACATTGTCTCTCGAGATCTCTTATCGGTATGGAGCCTCTGAATGAGCTTACGCAAATCTTCTGCCGAAACGTGTGCGAAACCTTTCGAGCACAATATCGCGTCCAGAATTCCCACAGTCTCCAACTTTGCAGCGCTTTCAATCGCCCCGTCTTCCTCAAGCATTTCATCATCAGCCATAATGAACTCATCTTCTATGAGTGCTAATGATACATGTTTGTTGCGTGTGCGTATAGCTTGTGTTAATGGTTTTGGTTTGGACCCGAGGAGCACGTGTCGAAGCTCTTGGGATGTTGGTTGCGTTGTACACCCCGGAAAGAAGTGATACTTGCACAGATCCCTTAGTACCTTGGGAACGTTGCCTTGAATCCCTTCTACTGCGGCGGGGTAGTCCTGAAAGAGGGGGCGGTACATGTTTAATAGGTACTTGATCGATTCTTCGTGACCAAGGTGGATCGCCCGGAGGAGCACATTGGGAAGCAAGCGGTACATGTCGATTGCCAGTTTACCGCTCCAGTCCCCCTCAAGACTCAGGTTGTTGAGAAGGTCGGTTATGTCAGTATTCCCAGGGGGTTGGAGCGCAACCCAGGTTATCCCGACTATCCCGGCCGGGGTTTTGAGGCGTACTGTCCCTTGCTTGAGGACCCGAAAGAAGTTTTCTGAGGTACTGCAGAGTAGCATCGGGAGTAAATATAGATACATCAGTATAGATTGCTTCGCCAAGTACTGGAAGGGAAATCGATGAGCGCTGACTTTGGACTGCAACGTGAGATTCTCGGCAAGAACCTTTGTTGCGTCGAATTGCGACTCTTTCATGGACCTCAAAAACCTCAGGGCGACACTCTGGACGGACTTGGAGTTGTCCAGTGTTGAGCTGATAATATGAGAAGGCGCTGATCCCAACTGCATTGCGGGAAGGGGGCTCGATAGCTCCGTACCAAAAAGGCCATAGCCAAGGTAGGTTACCATTATCGATGCCGTGAACGTTCGGGCCTCTTCGGGGTCGAGACAAACCCCGCCATTGTGGCCCTCTCGATCTTTTTGTATGAGGTACTGGTTGACGCTCGGGTGTACTGTACGTATCGTGCCGTCTTCTTCGTCCACGGTAATGAGACAGCCGCAAGTTGCCAAAGCCGAATCCACGCTGTTCAGAAGCTTCGAGGGGTCCCAGGTTGTATCGCCAAGTGTGACACTCAGGGCCTCCTGCATTTCTTCCATTGTAAGCGGTCGCATCGTAGATGTGATGATTTTGAATATCTCTGTTTGATAAGTTTGGCCAGGTTGCTGCAGCTGGTTCAGTATTTGATTATAGACCTGCGTAAGATTGCGAGGTAAATCAAGAAGTGCTTCGCGAATCTCTTTATCAGTCTTCATCGAGCATAATGACTCAATTTGTAGCGTCGCCCAAAGGAACATGCCTTGCGAGCCCTTCATTAGAGCGTCCCGTATGTCGAATATAAGAGCGGGGTCCCCAAGAACCAGCTTACGGGTTGTCAGACAGCGTTCCAGTTCAGTGTCCACAAACGCTTCAATGTCTTGGGCGTTCTCGGGCTGTAGCGTGACAACAGCAGGGCGGAATATTGGCATATCTGCTAGACTATGAGAGTCCACGCGATGTGATACACATAAATGCACATCCCGAACTGATTGGAGCTCCTTGATCCCGAGTAAGATGTAATTTCTGTCTTTTTCGAGACAGTTGTGTAGTCCATCAAGTACTATCCATATGTGTGTTGACTGAGGAACAACCTCATACAGCAGAGTTACGAACTGTTCCACACTGAATGAGTGTTTGTGTCGCGGGTCCAAAGTAGTCAGGTCCGGTACAGTCTCGAGTATTTGTCGTACCAGTGTGCCAAGGACTCGTTGACAATTTAGATCCCATGAGTCGTGCTCGCAGAAGTGATAAGCAACTACTGCATCGGTGCCTTCGATATGAGCAACGAGATCGTTGACTATATTCGCCATCATGACAGTCTTACCCGAGCCAATGCTGCCTCTATAGAGAAGCGTAGTTGACGCCTTGCAATCTCTCCAGTCATGATATTCGGTGGTTTGCAAAAAGCTGGTAGTAGTTCCGGTCTTGCGGATTCGCCTCCAGGGTGTCTCATAATCATGTGTTGAGAACATATCGAGGATGCGGAGCCTTTCTGCCAGTTTCCGTTGATGTTCAGTTGCCTTTGCATGTCGTGTTGAAAGAGCTCTGAACGCTGAACTAGTCTGGACTTCCATATCGATTTTCTGGGCCAACAAAAGATCCACTTCCTCTTTTATTGACTTTGCCCAAAGGTTGAGCTCGGCTTGCAACTCTCTCACGTCCGAGTCATTCACCGTATAGCCTAGCTTTGAGAAGGTTGATTTCCGGGCGAACTTCATGATACGATTGCAGAGGTGCACTACCACGATGAAGTATTCGTTGATCTGGGACTGGAGGAGTCTTGACCGGGGGTAAAGAAGTCCCAACGCCTGATATCGTGGAGCTGAGCGACCAACATCCATGAAGATCAGTGAAAGTCTCTCTAAATATGACGAGGAGTTGACCAACGCCTGTCCATAGTCAGCAGTTGAATCCACTCCTTCCAACGCTTCTTGCTCCGGTTGACCGAACTCGAATGAGATGAACACGCTTACCAGCAGCGACATGCGGACTAGCGACCATACGCCACATGCGATAATGTTTTGAGATCCTCCAATAATTACGTCGCCAAGCGCAGCGAATTGTTGAACGCCATGGAGAAAATTCGTGAACCGTGGTCCAAAACATCGACTGCCAGCCTTTTGAGCTCTGTCAATATCTGCAGTGACCCGCATGACACTGTTGGGGCCGGGAGGCGATTCGAGCGCTTTCGATCGATCTGTTCGGAAACTGGCCTTCTCAACCATAGACAGATTGGCTTCGAATTGAGACACCGCTTCGGCGAGACGGATTTCAGGTCTCAGTCTCGCCACGCTAGGGATGATATGAGACATGACGCCGAGGGGTTTGATGCATAGCACCAGTGAAGCGTAAGGCGAGGTGGTGAATAATCGTCGAAGTATCTACTAAGGAACTGTCCCTCAAGAGATTCCAGCCGAGAGTGCTGTGTTGTTGCGGGCAAAGCGACGAGACACTATGTCATGCCTGCACAAAGGAGGCGTGGCAGACCTAAGTACCCATAGAATCGAGGCGGGGTAACCACAGCCTCGTGCGACATACTATACATTCCATGCGCACATCGTGCAGTATTATCGCTGATCCACAGTTTGATTGGACACATCCGACAAGGGTCGGGATCGAGGAAGGGGCTGAAGTGTGGTATGCCATCGAGTTGTAGGGGCGCGCAAGATCAACCTTGAGAAGGACCGAACCGTGCCACATACTGGGCGACCTACAGTACTGTAGATAGGCTTCTGGATATTGAGACTGGTTGCCTTCTCATCGCTTCGATCTGTGCGCGTTAATGCTAAGATTTACTGTACAGGTTATCTCCTGGGCTCGTGCTTGTTGCGAGGATTCGCAGCGTCATGGACGTTAGTTGCCTGTATCGAGAGTGTCGGCAGACATGACACTGTCTTCCCTAATTCCCTAATAGTAATGGAAACTAATAACAAGGCGTGAGTATACTCTGGAAATAAAGTGTGACTGGCTGAATAATACTGCACTGATGAGGATGCATCGATGAAGAAGCAGACGCGCCCTTTCCTTGAGTCCCAGATACCCTATCGATAAGGCCCAAGCACGTACCACCGCGACCCTCGGTTTTCGGCGCAAACCATCATCGCAACCTAGACATTTCTGCCTCCAACCCTCACACCACACCCCCGTCAACCCCCGTCCTACCACCCAAACCTCACGCACCAACACCACCGCCAAAATGTCCACGGCCTACAACCCCCAGCAAACCACGGACCCAGCAACCGTCAGCCAAATCGACGCAACCGCGCGCACTGTGCACTACAAGTGCGGCGACTGCGACATGGACGTTCCGCTGAAGCGTGGAGAGCCGATTCGGTGCAGGAACTGTGGGCATCGTGTGCTTTACAAGCAGAGGACGAACCGGTAAGTGATTTTGAGTTTTGGGAGGATGGAGACAGGGGCAGGGAGAAGAGAAGAGAAGAGAAGAGAATAGAAGAGAAGAGAAGAGAAGAGAAGAGAGCGGGCGATAAACGTAGATTCGGAGAGAAGAGGCGCGCCCTAGACCTGGGAGAAGGGAGAAGCGGGAAGAGAGGAACGAGCGGAACGAGCGGAAGCGCAACACCGAGCGCATGTCGAAGGAGAATGAGAATAACGAGAAGACGAGGCAAGAAGGCGTCAAGCACAAAGAAAAACTAGCTAGCAGCCTCAACACGAACAGTCTCACTAACACAATATTTAGTATGGTCCAATTCGAAGCCCGATGAACGAGCAAATCGCCCAACTCCGAATACAACGATACGGCGAAGCGGCGAGCAATACGGACAAGATTCCAGATCTCAGGGCATGGAAACAGGCGTATACAAGGGGCAGGACAACCAGCGACGGAGATTTCCACACATGACAGCGACATCTGCACAAGGAGGAATACGAGCGAGAGGAGACATGTCAACTTGGCATCTCAGAAGGCATTAGTACAGGAGTTTGATTCGGATGTTTGAATGCGATATGGAGATGATAGCAGCAATTCCCAGACTCCGAACCATCACAAGCACATCAGCCACCATGACTATTACCACACGCTTCATTCTTCTTTCTTGGACGTGATCTTGACTTCAACCCCAGTAAACAGAGGATCAAAAGAAACCTTTACCAGCCATTACTCCATTCACGCGCTGTGCGCAAAGATTTATGTAGTATATGGTTATGATGTGATGTGACAGTGGTGCCAGCCAGAACACTTTCCTTCCCATTCCAGGCTTCATGCTATCAAAAGGGAACGGCTTCGAGACAGACAGACGGAAAGAGAGAGTTCTCGACCCCAGAAATTCCCGACCATCCCTCCCCAAACACCCCCATCCGTCTTCCTTCATCAACTCTTCCAGCTAAACACCAATCTATGACCCGCGGAACGCGTCAAAGCGCTTATACGTGTACCCAATAAAGGGCAGACTGGTTGCATACTCGTCTTCGTTTGCCTGTGCGGCCTGCGCCCTGTGAGCAGCCGAGGTATCATTCTGGTCAATCTCGTCGATGGGGAAGTATTGAGTATCAATGTTGGACTGCAGTTTGGGTTCGAAGGGCGCGCGGATACGGCGGAGACCGTCCCAGGAAACGCCGCGGAAGAAGGGGTGCTGTTTGATTTCGTTGGCGCCGCCGATGCGACCGAGGCGGTGTTCGGCGTCACAGATGAGCCTGGACATGTATGTTAGTCACTGAGATGATTGGGGAGGTAGTGTGGGATAGAGGCGCTTACCGTCGGACAAAGTCCTCAGCTTCCGCGCCGAGTTGCTGGTCGGGAGGGAAGTGCAGGTTACGCGGCCAGTCGACAATCTTGCGGTACGTGTCGTGTGGCTCCTCAGCGCAGAACGGCGGCCAGCCGATCAGACACTCGAACATGATTGTGCCTACCGACCACCAATCACAGCTGTAGTCGTAACCTTGGCCGCTGAAGATCTCCGGCGCGATGTAGTCGGGTGTACCGACGGTCGAGTAGGCGAGCTGTCGACGAGACTTACGCCATGTGTTGATTTGGGTACGGTTGCTGACAGTCAATTGAATCTGGTCTAGGTTCATTGATTGTCGGTTGTCGCGGTTCGATTTGTGTGCGCCGCCGGCGAGCAGCTTCTTGTAGTAGTTGGCATCGTGCTCCTTGTGGAAGCCTGTTGACAGACCGAAATCTGTCAACTTGATGTGGCCGCCTCGGTCGAGAAGGATGTTGTCAGGCTTGATGTCACTGGAAGAGTTAGAAGTTTGTCTTTGTGTCACTACTAAACACATACCGATGAATGAAACCAAGCTTGTGGACGGCCTCTATCGCAAGCGTGATCTCGGCCATGTAGAAACGTGTGATATCCTCAGTGAAGATTTCGTACTTGATCAGCATAGTCATCAAGTCACCACCTGGCAGGAACTCCATAAGCATGTAAAGGAAGGTGTTGTCCTGGAAGGTTGTGTGCAGCTTAACGACCCATGGACTGTCTGACTCGGCGAGAATGTCACGTTCTGACCGTACGTGGGCCAACTGATCTTTCTTGAACTGTGGCGTGTGAGCTTAATGCTACAGGTGGGTATCGAATGAGGACTGCCTACCATCTCCTGCTTCACAAGCGACTTGAGCGCGTAGATCTTGCCGTCGTTGCGCCGTTGCACCAGCTTGACCTCTCCGAACGCACCCTTGCCGATAATCTTCAGTGTCGAGAAGTTTTCGGGCTTCTCCTTCGTCCGCAGGAACCGCAGGTATTCGACTTCGGCACGGCGCATGCTGTCCTCCTTGGACCGTTTTCGGCTGTCGGAGATGGACGTCTCTTTCATAAGGGCATCGAGTTCGAGAGCTCTGTAGCAAGGTCAGTAGTGCTCAACTAACTGTCGGGAAATCCCACCTTTGGTTTCGGTCGCGAGCCCGCTGGACGCTGTCTTTGAAGAATGTGTTGATGAGACTCTTGGATACCATGGCCTGCTTGTCTACATTCTCCGTGTACTTGGTGGGGTTTCGTTGCGGCGCCTCTTCATCGTACAGCGAGGGCTGTCGGGGCCCCGAGCTGCCACCCTGGCTTCCGTAACCATAGCCTCCTCTGTTGTCTGCGGTGCGAGGACGTCCAGGGTTCGGCGAGGCTTGTCGGCCATAGGGGCTTCCAGAGCGACCGCTGCCCCCAAGGTGTTGGTGCGACAGTTGTTGGGCGAGGCCATTGGCGCTCTGGTCGAAGCGCTGGCTGCCTGGCGCCTGGAGGTTGCCCTGCTGCCCTTGGTATTGTGCCTGCTGGTAGGGGTTCATGAAGTAGCCTCCGCCCCCGTTGTAGCCATTGCCCTGTTGTTGCTGCTGGGCGCCCCAGACTTCCTGCTGGCCGGCCTGGTTGGGGTATACAGGTTGCGGGAACGTCGAGGGCGTCGTCGGGAATGCTCTGCCGACTTCCTGCTGGTACTGCTGGTTGTTTCGGTCACCGCCGCCGAAGCCAAAGTTGAGTTGCAGGCGGTTGCCTTGCTGGTTGTTGTTCATCGTGGCGGCCGCAATCGCTTCGGAGGGGAAGTCGGTGTAGTCGTGGTGGATGTTGGGTGTCGAGTAGCGGAGGAACACCAAGTCTGAGTCTGGGCGGTGGAGACGACTGGATTAGGAACAGTGACAATGCCGCTCTCTCACGGGCGTCTGAGCGGTCCACGGCGACTGCAGAGGATTCTTCAGTGCGGCGCTGGCAAGGAGAGGGAGGTGCTGGGGAGTGCCGCAGTAGCTCGGTCAGGGATAACAACTTTAGGGCGAGCTGGGTCCACCGGGCGGGGAACTGTGCCAGCAACCCAACTCATGTTTCAGACGACTCGGAGGAGCGCAAGTTAGGAATGCATCTCGATACTCCTACATATCTAGGTAGATGGTATCGCATTGCATAGTGAA